GGCAGCAGGAGGGAGAACGACAGCACATGGAGCTGCTTCCTGCCTCCGTGAGCTGTCCCCAGCCGATGAAGCTGTCCCCTCCCACAGCGGGAAGCCGGTAAGACGCTCCAACCTCATGGCGGAGGGAGGAACAGGGCCGGGCTCCCTGCTGCAGAGGGGGTGAGCCCTGAGCCCGTGGCCCACCTGCAAGACAGTCCTGGTCCATTAGTGGTCCACAGACCACACTTTGAGAACCAGTGGTCTACTGGGTACATCCTGTGCATTCCCCACCCGGACCAGTGCAGGACTGGTTCCTTAGTGCCTAGAATGCCATGCAGCCGATGGGCCTCCCCCGACTTGCTCTGGGAGATTAGGCCCCTCTCTCATGGATCTCAGGGTGAAACCTTTCCTGACGTTTGGGTTGAATTGTCCATTGTTAACATCATCCCCGTGTCCCACCCGGACCACTCTACGCAGCCCGTCTCCTCCCTTGGCCATTCCAGCTGGGCCTGGGTCTACCCTGCCTAGAATCTAGAGGCGCCAGCCCTGCTCACACAGGGCCAGCAGCAGCACCCGTGGCTGATGTGGCTAGTAGCCCTGACCCCGCTGGAAGCTGCAAGAGAATCTGCTTTCACACGTGATCACCTGGTGGGGATGACTGGCCGCCGGCCGCCGTTGCCAACAGCTGTCAAGCCTCCTTGGCCATGCAAGGACCAACATGGCACCTGGTCCTGCAGTCGTCCCCCCTCTGCTCCTCAGGCACTCGCTTCGACAATGCAAACGCCAGCTCTGTCATCTGAGATAGGGCACAGCTGAGTTTGGGGTTTTTTTAGGGGGGGGGGGAATGCTGTGGTCTGTCCACCCCTACCAGGGGCTCCCTTCTCTGCAACCTTCTAATATCTCAGCCTCAGCCCCCAGCGCCCGCCTCCTTCCCTTCAACTGCAAGAGCTGCAGCCCACACAGCAGCCTCCCGGGGCGTCCGACGCTCCGCTCCGGGGCAGGTGACACCTAGCGCTGGCACGGGCAGGCAGCGGCCATGCGGCTCCTCAGGAAGGGAGCTCACAGAGGGAGGCACGAAGAGCCGGCGCTAGAGCCGCCGCCCTATGGGAGCGGGGGCGGGAAGTGGGAAACAAATCCAAACTTCACTCCAAGAGAGGCGCAGCTGGGAACTGCGTGGGCCGAGCACGGTCCCGCGACCCCCCGCGCTCATTACAGCTGTTTAGAAATAAGAACCAAACTGGCAGCAGGTGGCAGCGCCTGTGACCGTCCAGCGCCAGCACCGGGAGGGGAGCAAAGTGAACAATGGGGACTGACGCAGGCTGGGGAGGCGGGAGCCCGGTGCCGGCAGAGAACTCCCCCTTCCCGGGAACGTGGAGCAGCTGGTCACCCGATCCCAAGGCAGAACCAGCCCCTGCTCCGCCAAAGGACTTCCCACATCGACGCTGAACCAACCCAGGACAAGTGCCACGGCTGAGCCAGCTACTTGCTACAGACATGGGGCCTCTACAGAAGGGTTCTCAAACTTCCTGGCCTGCAGCCCACACCCCTCGATGCAGACCTTTCCGCAGCCCCATGATGACAAAATGGGAGTAGAAGGGGGTGGGAGTGAAGTCTGGCCGGGAGGAAGAATGCAGGAGTGGGGTGAGGATTGTGGGGGTCTGGCCGGGAGCGAGAGTGCAGGAGTGGGGCGAGGATTGCGGGGGTCTGGCCGGGAGGGAGGGTGCAGGAGGGCGTGAGGATTGCGGGGGTCTGGCCGGGAGGGAGGGTGCAGGAGGGCGTGAGGATTGCGGGGGTCTGGCCGGGAGGGAGGGTGCAGGAGGGCGTGAGGATTGCGGGGGTCTGGCCGGGAGGGAGGGTGCAGGAGGGCGTGAGGATTGCGGGGGTCTGGCCGGGAGGGAGGGTGCAGGAGGGCGTGAGGATTGCGGGGGTCTGGCCGGGAGGGAGGGTGCAGGAGGGCGTGAGGATTGCGGGGGTCTGGCCGGGAGGGAGGGTGCAGGAGGGCGTGAGGATTGCGGGGGTCTGGCCGGGAGGGAGGGTGCAGGAGGGCGTGAGGATTGCGGGGGTCTGGCCGGGAGGGAGGGTGCAGGAGGGCGTGAGGATTGCGGGGGTCTGGCCGGGAGGGAGGGTGCAGGAGGGCGTGAGGATTGCGGGGGTCTGGCCGGGAGGGAGGGTGCAGGAGGGCGTGAGGATTGCGGGGGTCTGGCCGGGAGGGAGGGTGCAGGAGGGCGTGAGGATTGCGGGGGTCTGGCCGGGAGGGAGGGTGCAGGAGGGCGTGAGGATTGCGGGGGTCTGGCCGGGAGGGAGGGTGCAGGAGGGCGTGAGGATTGCGGGGGTCTGGCCGGGAGGGAGGGTGCAGGAGGGCGTGAGGATTGCGGGGGTCTGGCCGGGAGGGAGGGTGCAGGAGGGCGTGAGGATTGCGGGGGTCTGGCCGGGAGGGAGGGTGCAGGAGTGGAGTGAGGAGGCCTGGGCGGGAAGAAGGTGCAGGAGCAAGGTGAGGGTGTGGGGTCTCAGTGGGAGGCGCTGGGGTGCAAGGCCTGGGCACGAGAAGGAGAGCGGTGCTTACCTGACTCTGCCTCCTGCTGCTCCCATTGGTTGTGATTCCGGCCAATGGGAGCAGCGGCAAAAGCCTCCAGGTGAGCGGTTTCCTGTGCTGCAGTTCCCCTAGCCGGAGGGAGGGGGAGTGGCAGCACGCGGAGCCTCTTCCTCCCCCCACAAGTTGGATCTGACCCACTAGGCTTGGCCCCTGCCCCGCCCCGCCCCGGGAAGCTCCAGCCTCCGAGGGGACCTTCCCACCTGACGCGAGTGCTGCAGCAGGAGTCACTGAGTCACTGCAGCTCCGGGCTAGGCCAGGTGAACCTGGCTCTTCCCAGCTGCCTTGCTATATTATTTAACTCTGGAAATTCTACGCAGATTTTCCTAAAGCATCTGCCATGCAAACTGCCTCACACCCCACCCACTGTCTGCCGTCAGAGATGGGTGGACCACACGACTGAGAACTGACACATTTCATTACAGCCCTGAGCCTTATCAGCGAGAAATCCAAGGGAACTGAGGGACCATCTCCTGAAACTCTGATGCTGACGCTGCGTCTATTCACACTGGCTAACGAGGAGTATCGCAAGGCTCAGCATCTCATCCTAATTTGTGTGTCCTACAAGGCCAGTCTGGGATGCTCACCTTCCTGAAGTTGCCTGTTCGTCATCGGTAAGTCTACCACAGAGGCCAGAAATCTCAAGAAAGTCACCTGTCCCCTCGTGTTCCAGCACTTCGGTTACTCATCCCAGACCAGTGCATGGGGTCTGGACTGGGAGAGTCACGGGTTGTGAGTTCAAGTCTCTGCTCCGGCACTGACCTATGTTGTGTGTCTTGGGGCTAGTGACTGCACCTCTCTGAGCCACTGTTACTGCCTGTGGCCCTCTTACACCCCACACTTTGAAACACATCCTGAGAGCAACAGATGAGCAATGCTATTGAAGAACTAACTCTGCCCCATTAGACACTAGCATCATTCTCACTTTACTCCAATCTGCTTCCACGCAGAAAATAGCTCAATCTCGACCCAGGGTTAGTGGCGGTGGCAAGTCCATACTGAGACTAATTACAGCCACGAACATCTCATTTGTCACAGCAACTAAGCGACAGGAAAACATTTGGGTTGTGAATGAGACACAAATCAAGGGGAAGCAAGGAACCACCACATGCCTGTGAGTCTGCAAACAAACACTTTTTCTTGCCAGGCAAAACAGAAACACGGTGGAGAGAAAGACATGGTTTGCATCTTGGAAAAGCGGAAACTCGGGGACTAATTTTGCCTTCTTAATACGCCCCAACTGATGGTTCTGAACTAAGCCTCCCTACAGAACATAGTGAGTGTCAGGGGAAAAAAAAAAAAAAGACAGATAACGCTGGAACCCAGCTAGCGCTTTGGGGGCCAAATTCTGCTCTTGGGTAAACAGGTGTAGATCTGACCTAATGCCAGTGAAGCAGCATAGGTCTAGATTCACGCCCGTGTCCTGGAGAAGAGGATCTGGCCCAAGGGGGCCGGTTTCTGACACAGCCCTGTACTCACACAACAAGAACATTACCCTTCTTTTTCTGAAACGGCTTCGGGACAGTGGCCGACAAACCTCCTCCCCCCTTTTACAGAGAGCATGTCACCAGCAAACGGACCAAGCTGCTCTAAAACAGACCAGGGTCTCTCCTCCGAGTGCTTTCATGGGAGGCATGAGCCGCAATGAACATTTGTTTTACCTGGCAAGGGAAAAGCTAGAGCAGCTTATTTTTAAAAAATGCAACTGGGTCAGAAGCTGCCTGGAGTGGAATGAATGGACGGCATGAATGAGCACATCCAAAAGAAACACGGCTCCGCAGTCCGCGCGCCTGCCACACGAGACAAATACATTGTGCTACCGTGCGATTTGCAAGAGCACCAACATGGCTTGTGAACACACAAGCGCCCGTCGTCCTTCCCTCCCCCCGCACTTCACTGGTGATCTGGGAGCACAAGCCCTTTGGCTCTTTTGAAAGTGCTTAAGTTATATGCAGTTCCAAGTTTTTTAGACCCTCTAGGAGCCCAGTTCGTGAAGAGCAACACATTGTAACAACAGTTCTTTGCACTCCCATCGTCTCTTTCGTGCCAGGATACTTTGCAAAAACATCAATTAGGCCTCAGAACACCCCAGTGAACTCGGGACCTACTGTTGCCCTCATTTTCGAGGTAAGGAAACTAAGGCCAGAGGCAAAGGGACTTGCCTAATGGAAGCCACCCCACATTTTAACATCAAAGTAAGGAATAGAACCCAGGCGACTCCCGGATCCATATTACCACTAGGCAATGCTCTCCCCCTTACCTGACCACAGCACTGAACAATCACCAGGTCTGTTCTAAAGTTCACTCTACACATCGCGGCACACAGGAGTCTCCATACTGGGCTCATCACCTACAGTAACAGACTCGCCTGTTCAGCAAAACGACATCGGTCTTTGCACTTTCAATTAAATGGAATTTCGCTTGCAATTACCCCTGCTAAGTGGCCTGTTCCGGCTCCGGGATCTGCTTCGCTGTCTCTGAAGTCGCGACCTCCGGAGCAGTCGATAGTAGTAAGACGGTCTCCCAGAACTTTTCCTGCTGTTCATTGACATTTTTGTATCTATTTCACACGGACACACGCACGCTCGCTCCCCCCCTCTGTCAAAGCGGCACCACTTCCAGTGTCTAATTAACAGGAGGCTGGTTCTTTAGAGTAGAAGAGAGGAGAAAAAGAAAAGGAGCCCTTCAGTGCTGACATTTACAATTAAAAAGCCCTAAACTCAGCACGGAGCGCATGTCTGAGCAGAGGCAGAACGCGCAGCAGGCAAGTTACCCTGTGCTAACAATTCCGGCCCGCAAAGAGATAAGCCTGTTAAGAGTTGGAAAAGGAAGCCAGAGTTGGCCTGGGCTCTTGAAATATGAAGAAAAGGCTGGAAGAAATCCTGGACTGGATCGTCTTCACTGGACAGCAACATCGGACTGAGCCACGGGAAAAAGGCAAGCTTCCTGCTAGCGGCTGGCTTCCCAGCCCAAAGTGCTAGCCAGGCGAGGACCTGCCCCTGGTCGCTACATCTTTCTGAGGGCTAAGTTTCAGCCAGCAGGACCTGCACCAAGAGGCTCCTGGGGCTTTGTGAAAGAGGAGCTGGAGGAAGGGTGTAATGAGTTCCTTGCCCTGGGACACATGTTAATCATCAGCGTGCAAAAGCCCCAGAAAACAAAGTGAAACTCGAGAGGGAATAACTTTAATTAGAACTTGAGCGAGCAGAGGCCTGGACTCCCCTGGAGGCCCTTTTCCTTTCAACATTCAAACTAAATTATAGCATGTCACAGGAGGTAAAGAAAGAGGCCTCGTTACCATTCAGGTTCCGGCTGCGTCGGGATTCCGCCTCTGGCTCCCAGAGCTCAAACATGACATTCGAATGGGCAGAATGAATGCTTTAAGCCACAGAGAGAAACAAGAAAGGCCCAAGCCTCCAGTTTCAAAAGCCCCGCTCCGAGGTGCATTGCCCAGAACTCTTCAGGCAGGCCCCCAGAGAAGCCCTGGCAGGCATGGAAAAGCTGCGAGGGGAGAGTGGCAGGAAGGATTGACCGAGGATGGGCTCACTAGAGAACAAGGGACGGATACACTCACTGTTTCTTCTATGGAAAGCTGCGTTTGCACTCCAAGCTCATGGAGAATTTGACCACGGGGTGGGCTACTGGCAACGTCAGGGACATTTGCAGGGGGCCTATCAGCACAGTGTCTGGCTTTGCTAACTTTACCCATCTCTTGCACCAAATTTACCTATTGGCTCTGTCAGGGAAGAAGTCAAGGAGGGAAAAGGCAGGACAAAGCCACCCCGGCCCTAAGCTGGCCAGCTGTGGGACAGCATGGAAGTTTGCCCCAACGTGGCCTGTGCCACGCCTGTTCTGGTGATAGGCTGAGGGGTTCCCCCTCCACCACCTTCCGCTAGCACTCTATTCATGACAAGAAAACAAAAATCCTCCATTCCACCCCAGTCTCCGCCACCACCCCGCATCGACTCCCAACATCGGCAAACCTGGCCTGACAAAGCGGGGCGTGGGAAACATTAGGGTGGGATATCGGCGAGATGCCTCTTCTCTAAATACTGAGTAATGGAGACATCACTTCACTTCTCTCTTTAGAGAGGCTCTTCGGTGCAGTCTGCGACAAAGAGCGTGGCATTGCCTTTGTTGAAGTCCAGGCCTGGTTTTGAGGCCACACCTCAGGAATTCTAGACTAACGTTGAGACGGTGCAGGAATAAACCAATCAACCTGACTGTGACAAGTTTAGGTCAAGTAGGCAAGATCACAGCTGGACAACAGACGTCTCTCATCTCTCCCCCCTCTGCAAGATGCAATAACACAGCAGCATTCCTCCGCCTGGCTTCTATCCAGCTGCACCCTCACTGACCAGACTCATACAGCAGATCACACGGGAAAAGGCCACAGTTGCTTTACGGCTACTCAATTCACTTTACCCAGGAGAGAAGCAGTTTGTTTTTACCCACCTGAATGGCAAGCAAACTACTGAAACATTTTCCAGAACAAATTCGACCCCCCCCCTTGGGCAGGGTTGGTATCTTCCATTCACAAGGAGAGAGAAGCACTTATTGAAATTAGCAATGGGGAACTCTCAAGCCATTTGGCAGTTCACTCTGAAGATTCGGTTCACAGTAGTAGCTGAATGTTCAGGTCTCCAGATGGCAAACAGGTAGTTTCGTTAGCAGAGATTCTCCACTAGTATTAATGGGACCTAGGCCTTGATAACAGATCTCATTGATAGCTCCGGCATTCCCCTGAGTCAGAAGGCAGACAGAAACGAGCATTGGCACCGAGAAATTGTTTTTAAAAGTTCACTCGAATTCCGAGGGTCCAAAAGGGCAAGGTTCAGCAAGTTTGTTCTTGTGTAACCAGAACCAGCTGACACATCTTAGATCCACCTGGAATGGAGTGAAGGAGGGATACTTGGGGATTGTGCTAACTTCTGTGAACAGGTGGAAGTGATCAGGAGGTTTGTACTGATGGTTCTGCCTCCATTCATGTGCACTTAAGCATCTGGTCTGTATTTCGGGTTTTTCCTCCCCCCCTTCTCCCCCACCGCCGGACCTTCTGAGATGTTTATGCAGGTGATCATAAAATGGGAAGAGTTAATGAAGGACTATAAACTATCATGACAAGAGAAGGGAGCCTTATTAGAAGAGCATAAATAGCCGGGGAGTTTTATTAAAGTTTAGCCAGCCTGCCTCTCTGTCTCTCTCACTCACTTCAGTCAAGGTTTTGAAGGCATTAAGTACAGATGGCGACGGAGCAGCAGGTAATAAAACGAATGACCCAGCTGGGAGGTAACAGACTGGTTTGGACCATTCCAATTATTCCAGAGCTATTTCTTTTTTTCCCTTTTGAAAGCCCTGCCCTGATGCAAGTGCTCGTTTGTGGGAAGGAACCCAGGGCTTGCAAAAGCAGCCAGATTAACAGACCTGGGAAAAGAGATCCATGACTTCTTTCCAAAATAGCCCGGCAGTGGGAATGCAAGCTTTCTATCAACGTGCCACACCCAGGGACCACGCCCACCCCAAGCTACTAATGGGGGAGGGGAGGGTCAAATAGAAGGCTGATTTTTATGGAGACCTGTCTACTGGGCTGAACTGACACGCATGGCCTGGAGACCACGAACATGCCACCTGCTGTCATAGGCAACCATGGACTGGGTTTACCCTGGAGATATCTGGAGTAAAACGTGGCCGCCTGTATTTAGGGTTGCCAGATAGTTGAAACAAAAATACTAAACACCCCACCCCATCTCCCCAAAAATGGGAAAAAAAATTCTGTTGAAGGGGAAAAAAAGAGGGGGGGGGGGGGCCAAAGGTGTTGAGCAAAAAAAAAAAAAAAAGGACTCTAAGTAAGCCCCCCCCCAAAAAATAAAGTAAAACAGCATGTCCCATTTCAGAGAGAGTGCAGGGATAGGAACAGGGGAGTGGTTGAGCACTAGGTCTTTTGGCCGGCAGCCATTTTGTGCTGGCAGCCTTGGGGAACTAGGTAAGCATGGGAGTTGGGGTCGGAGGGCTGGGGGTGTTGGGAACCAGGGGAGGATTTGGGGGGGAGGAGGCAGGCGCTGAGTGTTTGTAGGGTTGCCAGGTGCCTGGCATTTTCGCCTCCTGGCCTGGGAAAAATTCAGAAAATACCGGACATTTTAGGTGTCCAGTATTCTCTGAATTTTTTTTACCGGACAGGAGCCGAAAATACCGGACTGTTTGGGTGAATACCGGACACCTGGCAACCCTACTGTATTTGCCTAGGCCTCAGAAGTGCCTGGCCTTTGCCGCCCAGGCCTGCTGCCTTTTCTGTACAGCTTTGTACATCGCGATTTATTTTGTTCCTTGGCAAAACTTCCAGGAGCTGCAGACGTGTTGGGTCAGCACCAGTGTCGGTGCTGTGATGAAGCAGAGAGGCCCGAAGATGGGTTGGCTGGCTCCCAGTGTCACAGCTACAGCAGGCAGTCGCCCAAGGGTTCTACCAGTACACAGAGACTGACGGGCACAGCTGGCCGGCCGCCCTCCTCCTCCATTGACTGGAGCGTCCCTTAGAGTTGCCAGGTGTCCGGTATTCTACTGGACGGTCCGGTATTTGCGTTCTTCATCCAGTTAAAAAAAAAATCAGAGAATACCGGACATGTGCAATATTCTCTGTTTTTTTCCGGCTGCGCTCCGGACGGAAGCCTGGCATGGTCAGGGGGAGCGGCTGGAAGGCGGGGCCACGATCAGCACTGGGAGCCTGTGATTGCGCAGAAACCTGGCGGGAGTGAGAGGAGTGGCTGGGAGGCGGGGTTGTGATCGCCGCTCTGGGCGCCCCATGTTCCTTTTTTTCCTTTTTTGCTTGACCAAAAAATCCTGCGTGTCCGGTATTCTTTGGGAGACCATCTGGCAACCCTAGCGTCACTGTGTTATCATTCACCTACTCGTTTGTGCCTGGAAAACAATCGCTGTTCTCCAGAAGCTGCTCTCCCCCGTGAGCCCTCTTGCTCTCCCGCAGGGAGACCCATCATTCCTCTCAACCGTCCTCGTTTCTGGGGAAAGGCATTCTCCTTTGTTCTGCGGGCCCCTTCCAGGCAAGGCGATGAGAATGCCTTTCCAAACGCCTGCCTGTTCCCACCCAGCCTCCGCCTCCAGAATGCCTGCCCTAGGCGGAGTGTTGCTGCCCCTCATTGCCTGCCCTGCCGGTGTTCCACCTCCCCATGGTGCTGAGAAAGGCCTGGTTCCAGTGGGGGTGGAGCCTGGATAGAAGGGGCGGGGTTAGGGAGTTGCTTCCCGCAGCCCAACCTTCACCCATGAGAGCACTTCGTATTCCGTGCCCAGACTGCCTGGGAAGAGGAAGGCCGTACTCACTGTGGGGAAGTGTATTTTGTGCGCTGACACTTGTCTGCCAGGAACTGAACGGAGACCCACAAATAACTCTTTCCTCAGCCCCTCCAGAGTTGCCAGACCGAGATAAGTCTTAGGGATGTAACAATCCGTGTGGAACCCATGAGTCAGAGGCGAAGGCTCATGAAAACATAATACACGGCCTGCCTTGGGCTTGGCACCTTGTGCGGTTACACTGCTGTGGAAGCATTAATCACACTTTCTTGGACAAAAAAAGAAAAAACGGGAAGGGGGGGGATTCGACGTGGGGCAACGGGATCGTCGCAGAAAATACTCAGGAAGGGCCCACTCAGACTTGCTTAACTAGCCCATCGCAGTCTTTGGAAGCTTTCCAAGCAACTTGCAGAGCCAGAGAGAACTTCCCCCTTTTCACATAGATTAGAAGAACAACGTGTCTGCAGCTCGGATACAGTCACACAAAGACAGAGCTGAACAGACAAGGAAGGGTACAGGAAAAGGATGCTCAAGCTACTTGGGTCCTTCTTCAAGCACTAGTACTAGCTTCCAAGTAATTAAATCCCTTTCTCTCCCCTCCCCCACCACACACATAGGGGGTGCTCTCGGGGGCACAAATAACCATTTTTTAGTCAGGGCACTGGCTAGAGTTAAATAAAACAATCGCTGTTGTATGTAGTTTGTGTACTTGTAGTAGGGCAGACTCCGATACCTCACGGCCTGTTTCTTCAGCCCAGGAGGGAGATGCTATTTTGAGGGTCTCCCTTGCTTGACCTTCC